AGCTGTCACTCCAATCCCACCTGGAGAGGCTGCAATATGGCAGATCCCAGGGGTGCTTTCCCCCAAGCAAGGATTGCTTGCCTGTAGCTCCACAGCAGGGTCGAGTGAGCTCAGCAGAGTGACCTGTCTGCCTGAAAGCAGCTTTCACCGGCCTCTGAAAGGTGCAGTGGCATGTGCCAGCTGAGCAGCATCACCTGCCGAGCTGCAGGGCCTGTGCCGGCTGGCAAAACTGAACCTCCTGTATCATTTCTTTGCTTCTCAGCAGGCTCCTTTACCTTGTGGACGGCAGTCCAACCTTCTCTGTAGTGGGCATCTGTGCTGTCCTGTCTGAAGACTCCTGTATGACCCAGTGGCTGTCAGGCCTGCTACTGCCTCTGATGAGGGAGTATGTTTTACGGTTTCTTTTCTGGGCTGATTTTACAGGTGTTTGTTGTTGCAGCTCCAGGTAAGAACTGTTGTGGAGTGTGCATGGGGCTCTTATTTGTGGCAGAGATCTCTCTTTGCGCTTACACCCAAGTGAGTAGCGGTCATAGTTACGACAACTACCATATAGCAGCCTAAATGAAAATTATTTCCTGTGGTCTGTGAGGGGTGGTGATAAGCTATAGAGGTGCTCTCTGCTTGCCATGCTTTCGGAGTGAGTGACCGAAAGCTGCTCAGCGTGGCTTTCTCTCATCTTGTTTGGTTTTCAGCAGATAGGTACCTTAAGTGCCCTCTACCATCACGTGGGAGTTGATTTTTGTGATTGTACATGAGGCTTTTTGGTTTTTTCTTTTTTTCTTGGTTCATAGCAGGATGCAGTCTAAGAGTTTGTTGTCAGTTCTGTGAGCTGATAGTTCAATTCTGGTTTATGAAATGAGGAATCTTATTTTTACATGTAGAACTTCCCTCATCCCCCATAGCTGTGTGGTATCTGATTACTTACTACCTGGTCTTCTGTCACAGCTTGTGTTCCTCATCTCTATCCTGAATCATTTGGGGAATTGCTGCTTGAAGAACAGGTTCAAATTCAAGTAAGATCAGACTGAACATGACATCTGAGAGATGCTAGGCCAGAGCTTGAAACAGACCTAGCCACCCTTTAAAAAACCTGGTTCCTTGTTTCTGCCTTTCTGACAACTGTTGTAAAGCAACTGCAGCTGGTGTCCAGTGAGCTGTACTATGACAGCATCTTAATGAGAATCACTGGAGCAGCAACCTGTCCCGAGGTTGGTGCAATGGCAGTTTTACTGCCTATAACCTATGTGCCGAGTACATCCTGTGCTGTCCAGCACCATTGAGCAGATGGAAAAACGCTACGCCATGCCTGCTTAAGCATAGCGGACAAACTAATGACCATATTTTCAGAATTTATCTGCGGGAGGTGTTTACAACAGACACTGATTTCTTTCCCAGCTGTGCTACTGCTCCGCTGCATGTGACTTGGAAACCCGCTTCCCTTCCTTGTTCTCCATTCGTAAAATGGAAGTAATAATAATGACCTCTTGTGGGTGTCTAGGAGGATGATCATTTTGTACTGGGAGAGTGTTAAGAGGGATACAGGTGAGAAAAGGCTTATGGAAGTGCTGGCAGTGTTCGCTGCGAAGATATCAAAACTTCCAATTACAAATGTGTTTTATTGGATTAATGCAGTTACAATGTAGTACTGAGGGCATGTCTCCAGGTAAACAACGCATGCTGCCACGAGCATGTCCCTCCAAAACCTAAACAAATTAAAAGAGAAGCTAGGAGTCTGCTATGTGTTTCAGAGCAGGAGGACAATGCTTTGGCCTTGCATTAAGAAAGAGGGAGGAAACACTCCTCAGACGGAGGAGCTGTGGCATAGATGGAGGCAGAAAGAGAATATGCATTTATGTCCAAAGCTGTCAAACAAGTGCAGCTAACAGCACAGCGAAGCCTAGTCTTGAGAGTGAGACCTGGAGCCTCTGGCAAGTTAGTCTGGATCCTGTACAGTGAGGGGGAAAAACGAGAGAGCCATGTCGAGACTGTACGAGAGCAGGTTTTCCTACACAAGGAGAAGAGCTTCAGATTGCCCTGAGATAGGCCAGCACAGCACAAGAGATCAACTTATACACAGTATGGCAGGACTAGTCTGGTGTCTTCATCCAGAAACTACTGGAAATGGCTTTGTAAAGTATCGCTGGGGAAAAAGAGCACGGATGGATTGTGTTTAGCCAGCTGCTCTAAGCCAGGACTTACGGGTGTCTGTGTGCTGAGGGTGGCAATGGGTGTATCGGCAAGGGGAGCCAGGGAGAGTCACGGGTCTGTCTGCACCTGGGAGTCACCCTGATGGAAACACTGTATGATCTTTACAACTGAGGCATGTTGAAACAGCTGCCTCTCAACAGTGTGCTGTAATGACAGGTATCATACTGGTAAGACAGGACAAATCCTTTCCTAGCAGCGCTCTTGACAAGGAGAATAGCACAGACAGAGATCAATCCCAAAAAGACCAGGAATACGTTTCAAGACGGATAGAGTACATGCAAACTCCCACCTGCCCCAGCAGAAAAAAGAGGTTTGAGCCTATTACAGGCATAGATAGTTGGGGCTATCCTAAGCTTTGTTTGTTACTTAGTGGTCCCAACAGATGACTGCGTGTATGATAGTTAAGTGGTAGCCAATGTATCACTGATCCTTGAGATAAGAAAAGAGGAGACACTGCACATATGACAGAGTGCTGCACTTCTCATGCAATCTGACCTATGAGTGCAATGTACCAAAGGGATGGTTGCCACCTCTCTACCTGCAAGGAACAATAAAATACAAGCTGGTAGCACACAGGACTGTTTCACTTGCATTTGGGGAAACTTCCTCAAGTGCTGAATTGTCCCAGTTGCATGGGCAAACTTTTTCAGGGAGACGAGAGATGTTATGGTTTCTCCACTGGTACTCTCTTTCTGAGTTTCAGTGCTAAATTTGTTTTCTTGGCCCCTGCTCCCATCTTATCAAAGAGGTCACCTTTTGCCCTCTAAGACTGCTGCG